CCGGCGCGCGGCAAGACGACCCGACGCTCGGACGGCCGCTCACACACCTGATCGAGAACAGTCGCGAGTCGGCTTCGGAGCGACGCGACGGCCGCGGCGGCTCCCCCGGCCGCGCTGATCACAAACGGCCGCAGGTGAGTGGGGCGCCGACATGAGGCCGTGCGTGACATTCAAACTCCGTCGTCCTCGGATTCTGACGATGTGGCAATGTGGCGTGCCAGACATGAGATTAAGAGCATCGTGGGATGACACAACATAGCGCAGGCATTGCAGCCAGTGCATTCCAGGGCATGCATTTTAGTGCGGATGAGAGAGAAGGCCTTCTTATATGGATGCACGCTGTTCTTGATGAGAAAGATCTAGATGTTCCAGATTTTTCGATCCGTGCGCTATCATTATTCTGAGTCATACAATAGTTCTCTTTACCTTCAAGGCTGGCTTATTTCGTTGCATGGTCAGAATCAGGTGACTGTGTTTGAACTTCGCATATTGCACTTGCGTGACCTTGTTCCTTTCGCAAAGTCGAGTGAAGTCGCACGACGACGCTGTCTTGCGCAGTTACGGTGACAGAGGACATGATAAATAGTTCAACTTCGGCTTCAATTTGATTACTACTTCACGTCTGTACCGTGATGATATTATCAAACACGATTACTACTTCCTTGCTCATATCAGTCAGGACACGATGGTGAGAGAATCGTTGAACGCAGTTAGCGGTATTCGACCCACGCCTCAAACGGCGTGCACGAACGATCGACACCGGCGGATGTTGTGGGCGTTGTTATCCAGAACCGCCGGTCTGAGTTTTGATGTGGCCCCTACCCCGGTCTGAGGTTGTGACGCGGACCCCAGCGCGACTGCACGACCGCCCGCCGGTCTGAGGTTCGACGCGGCCCCCAGCGCGACTGCGGGGACCGCGCGTCCGGCTGCGGTTCATGAACTCAGTGGCCCATCCGACACCAACCTTTCGTCGGCACACTCGCGCGGCTCAAACCTGACCAGTGCCGGTCTTATGGCGCTCCTGAAATGAACGGATGCACCGTGTGGGTCCTGTTAGTTATCTGCGCTTGGATACAGGCGCTGAACTTGTCGTTTATATAAGCAGAGCTGGCTGTCCAGCCAGTCGGTAGCGTGCGGAACTGTGACTGAACATTTCCGGCTCGAATTCACTTTATATTCGGCCGGAGTCGCGTTGTGACATCACAGTGTCAGCACAGAAGCAGCGTTCTGCGCCGGCCCAGACGGACGTGGCGTGCATCGGCTTACCGGCCAACTAGGACGCGAGACAATGCAATCGCGCGGAGATCACAGTCCCCAGCTTAGGGGCGGATATGGAAATTGAAACACTGAAGTGCGCAGTGAAAGCACAGGCGCCAGCAGACCAATAGGTCCGGAAAATTTGGGACGGACCTGGCCCGAGAAGCTGGAGTAAGACAAAAGCTCAGTTATCATCATTGGTTCAACTAATTATCACGTCGTCTGGTTTGGCGATTACTAGAGGAACGCTTCGAAGATACTCGATGGTTAGGAGAGTTGATACGAGCAAAACGGCTGATGATGACCTTACGAGCTTCATCAGTATGGCAGAGCACCCAGATCTGCGGGCAGCGAGGCTGCTGGCTGGGCACCCCTCCCTGGACGACCGTCGCGCCGCCGCTGTTCCAGGGCGAGTGGCGCTCCCACCGGCCAACGCGAGGACCGGCGTGGACGCCGGTTCACCGCCGCTCGGACAGAGTGGGTCGAGCCGCACAGAGACGGTCGCGCGCACCGACCGGCAACCGGAAGACGGTTGAGTGCAGAGCCGGCGCTGTCGCCCGACGCGCCGCCGCCCCGGTCGGGCCGGTCCGGGTTCGGGCGGCGTGGGAGAGGCGGGGGCCCGCCGCCGCCGTGCTCGCGCGGCCGTTCCGCCGCCGTGGCTGCCCAGCCGGCGGCGGTGCACCGAGCAGGCCGCTGTGAGTGCCGCCGGCGCCAGTCAATGGCAGGAGGCAGCCGGTCTGGTAGACCAAGCAGCTTGCCAATGAAAGGCCTCTTTTACAACCATCCGTGATTCTTGGTGTGCGGGATTTCGGATGTACGCATAACTTTCGGAACGCCGACATTTCACCCAGTTAGCTGCATCCGTGTACAACTTGGATGCAAGGTTACCGCAACTACGATAGCAGGTCCAGCTGGCACACATCACGTGACACTGCCCGACCGTCTGAACTGCTGAGGCCGACTACGTGTCGAAAATGTGTGCTAACCATGACGGGCGTGTCTTCAGGATGAGGGCGGGTCTTCCGTCTCCAGCGAGGAAGGCCGCCACCCCCATTCATCATCGACTCGCCACGGAGAACCCTCATCCAGCCAGGCTGTCCGAGACAGCTCGAGCTCCCCGAAGCCGGCGTCCAAGACCAAGAAGAAGGGCTGGCTGTCGGCGACACTCAGTCGACTGGACCTGAAGTCCAGCAAGTCGGACCGCGCCAAGAAGCGCGCCACAAGCTCTCCCGCGCAGCCGGAGGCCCGGACGTTCCCAGTCGCCGACCGGCGGCGGCTCCCGCCAGCAGAGCCCGGAGCCGCGGGACGGCGCGCGTCACGTGGCCGCCGGCCGGCGGCGACGGTCGCGCTCCGGCAGCAGGGACGGACTCGACACCTCGGAGGAGCACAGCGTCACCGCCAGCCGACGCCGGGAGCAGCGCGTCTCCACGGGCCGGCGGGAGACGCGCTCCGAGGTCACGAGGTCTGGGAAGCGGCGAGAGACGCGCGCCGAGGACCGGCGAGAGAGACGCTCCGAGGAGCGGCGAGGGGCGAGCCCCGACGACAAGCGGGAGGTGAGCACCGAGGACAGGAGAGGAAGGCGGTCCGAGGGCCGACGAGAGAGACGCTACGAGGGTCACCGAGAAGGCTCAGAGGATCCGCGAGATGGACGCTCCGAGGACCGGAGAGAAGCGAGCTCCGACGACCGGCGGGAGAGAGACGCTACGAGAGCCGGGAAGTGAGCTCTGAGCACCGGCGGGAGAGACGTTACGAGGACCGTCGCGACAGGCGCTCTGAGGAGCGGCGCGACAGGCGCTCTGAGGAGCGGCGTGACAGGCGCTCTGAGGAGCGGCGCGACAGGCGCTCTGAGGAGCGACGCGACAGGCGCTCTGAGGAGCGGCGCGAGACAAGCTCCGAGGACCGGCGGAGACGATCTGAGGAACGGCGCGACACACGGCCGGAGGACCAGTGGGAGGGGCGGTCCGGGGACCGACACGCCTCGCGCTCTGAGGAGAGCCGCAGACGCAGCCATAACGTCACCTCGTCTGGCCGGCGCGAGTCGCACCGCTCCAGCGACAGGGAGGGCCGGTCAGGCGTCTATGAGGAGGTGCGAGGGGCGCGGCGGCCGCACGACCGAGCGTCATCAGACGTCCAAGACCACGGAGCGACGTCCCGTCTCGCGCAGCACCAGCTTCTCGCGCCGGTACCCGGAGGACGCGGTGGACGGCACCGTGCGGACGGCGCGCAGCGGCGCCGGGCGGCGCACGGCGCGGCTCTCGAGCGACGCGTCGTCGCCGCGCCGCGGCCAACACAGCGTCGCGTCATCGCTCAACAGCAGCGGCAGCGAGGCGGGCAGCCGCGCGCCGGCCGCCAGCCGCGTCAGCAACGCCTCCAACCGCTCCGTGTACCTGCATGCCACGACTGTGGCTGACATCCCGACGCCGGCCGGCGGCGCTGAGCCGGCCGAGCCGGACGGGGCGGACGAGCCGCTGCCGAGCCGCGAGCGGCGCAAGGTGTCGCGTTCCTTCTCCATGCTCTCGCCGTTCAAGCTCAAGCACCCCGCGCGAACGCGAGATCAACTACGAGAACCGCGGGGGGCAGGCAAACGGACGGCCACCGCGCGCGCCGCAGCGGTCGCCGCAGCGCCGTGACTCCCACGACACGGAACTGACGGAGCCGGCGACCGGCCGCCGCCGCCAGCCCGTTTCGCGCTCATCCAGCATGCCCAAGGGCTCGCGCTCGGCCGGCTGGTACCGTGCTGAGGACCGGCCAGCACGCTGAGTGATGTCATCAGGTGAGTCTAAGAAGGGGCTTCGTGCACCCAGCGCGGGAGTTGCCATCAGGTGAGTTTGAGTTCGAGTTTGAGTCCGCTTCATCGTCCGTCACAAGATGGGCCACACGCACTACGCATGCACCTAAGCACTTCTAGCAGCGATTTAGCATAACCTCTTTTTCACCTGAAAACATTCATCGCCTACCGGTGCGTAGGCAGGCGATAACCATGTTTTGCATCAGAAACAAACATTAAACCCGTCTGCAACGGAAATGGCTATAACGGCGTCCAAGAGTAGATACATGCACCGGCTTATTCGGCTTGGTCTCATTAGGAGCCTTATCCCTGGCATCAGCAAACCAGCTCCATACCGGCCGCGCCGCAAAGCGCCGCAGGGACGTGACGTCATGAGTTCTGCCGCCCACCCTCGAGTCGGCGCGCCCACGCGCGGTCGGCAAACCAGTCCAAGCTGGGCGCCGCCCCGGCCGGTCGCTGCGCGTTGAATGCTCGGCCGAGCCGCCTACCTGGCCGGCCGGCCGCCGCCAGTGCCGTGGGCAGCACGCTCGGATGCAGTCACCGGCAGGTGGCCATCAGTGCGATTTTGGATGGGGAGATCCAGGCTCCATTAACTCAGCGCAGCGCGAGGGCCTGACCGACTGAGGTCATTGCAGGTCCTCGGTAGGGCACGGGTTATGTGAGCACGTGAACACGCCAGGTGGCGACTAGCCGTGTCCATTGCCCCCCCCCCCCCCCACCCACCCCCAGCACGACCGCCGCCAAAACCCCCCGTTCCATGGCTCAAGTGGCCATCTACCTATGCAGGCCATCCTGGGACAAAGCCTGAGACGGCGGCCGTGAGTTTGCTAGCCGTGGTGTTCCCGAGTGAAAGCGCGGGGCGACGTACTTATGTAATGCCAAGTCCCACTGTGAACTTCAAGCATGTCGGGACGCCAGCTGATTTCGGGAGTGCTCAGATCGGTCCGTCTGAGTGTCGTGCCTTTCGAAAATCCGTCCCGGTGCTGCGCAGACGCCGCCGTCTATCTGATCGGCACCGCCACCACTGTGGCGTATTTCAGACAGATTTTGCATCCGTGCACACATGCTTAAAATATGTTATCGATTGCGAATCAGCAGCTTGAGGTACCTTTCCGCTGACTGATGCGCCGAGGTCTCAGACAGTGCATGAATACATCGGCATCCGTTGGAGACGCGTGCGACGCACACTACAACTGCGGCGCACGCTGCGACTCCGCTGCACTGCGACTCCACTGCACTGCGACTCCACCGCACTGGGGCTCCACTGCACTGTGACTCCACTGTACTGCGACTCCACTACACTGACTCCACTACACTGCGACTCCACTGCACTGTGACTTCACTACACTGCGACTCCACTGCACTGCGACCCCACTGCAATGTGACTCTACTGCACTGCGACTCCACTGCACTGTGGCTCCACTGCACTGCGACTCCACCGCACTGCGACTCCACCGCACTGCGACTCCACCGCACTGCGACTCCACTGCACTGTGACTCTACTGCACTGCGACTCCACTGCACTGCGACTCCACTGCACTGCGACTCCACTGCACTGCGACTGTACTGTACTGCGACTCCACTGCACTGTGATTCCACTGCGCTGCGACTCCACTGCACTGTGACTTCACTACACTGTGACTCTACTGCACTGCGACTCCACTGCACTGCGACTCCACTGCACTGCGACTCTACTGTACTGCGACTCCACTGCACTGCGACTCCACTGGTTTTCGTCCGAACCTGTTTTCCCCTTGTCGGTGCACGCGAGGCTACGACGAGGGGTGCACTCTCCGTCACCGGACCGTGGAGCGCCAGCCACCAGCGAGGACTGTCAGTCATGGCGGCAGAGAAGGCCTGTCGCTAGATGACACGGACCGGGTCCGAACTGTGCCCGTGGGGTCGGGTCTGCCTCCGCGGGTCACAGGCCGGGTCTACTACGGCGTGACATGGGCCTGGTCTGTCATTGAATGACAGGGACCTCGTCCTCTGTTGTGTAGCACGGACCCGGTCTGTCATTGAATGACACGGACTTCATCCTTACGGTTAGGCGCGGAACTGGTCTGTCATTGGATGAATCGGAACATGTCTTCCACTGTTTTGCACTGACCTGGTCTATCATTGCATGACACGGGCCCGGCCTTGTCACGGGCCTAATCTGCGACTGTGTGCGATGGGTCGGGCCTGCCATTGTGTGGAATAGGCCTAGTCTATTTCTGCGTGACATGGACTCGGTCTGCTACTGCGTGGCATGGGCCTGGTCCACTTCTGCGTGACACAGGTCTGGTCTGCCTCTGCGTGAGACAGGCGGGATTTGCCGTTGTGTGGCACATGTGCTGTTGTTTGGCACATGTAAGGTCAGGCACTGGGAGATTAGAATAGGGTCCTTTACCGTACGACACGGCTGTCTCTGCCGTTGCATTACACAGGTGGGTCTGTCCGATCATGGCACACTTTCGACCGCGGCTGGGACGGCGGCAGCTTTCTGTGATGGTCAGTTGGCTGACGTCTGGCTGTCCGTGCTGGTGGACTGGTTTTATTTGTCTCGTGGGACCAGTCTCACACGTGTGGCCGGGGCGGCGCGCATATCGCGGATCTCGCTTCCGTGAAACCGGCCTCACGTGCGCGCACCGGCCGTGAAGAATGCATGGGTTCCTTCACCCCCTGCGGCCGGCTGTGCAGATCACACCTGTGACGTCACGCGACGACAACGGGCCTGTGTTTAGCGTCGTTAGACGAGAGGCTGGGTGACTCCGGCGCTTTCACAATACATCTTGCTTGTCTGCGGAGGCGTGGTCATACATCCTTTGAATCAGAATCTAGCTCTCTCCCTAAGTATTTTCGCTGTCCCGTTGCCCCCACCAGTCGTCGGAAATCATAAACGCCGCGTGCGCTTTTTATTCCGCCGATTACACGCACCAGTTCCAGCCGGAGGCGGCGACTGCACGTGCGACAAGGAGCGAACCACCACCGCTACTTCCGTGTTCCTGCGTTTAGTCGCGGGGTTCCTCGGCGGTTCCGCCGTTTATGAGGTGGCGAATATCCCTCGTTGCCCCGCCTTCTACGCCGACCGTGGGGATTTGCAGGGGATCTCTCGCTGTACTCTGGTGTTTTGTGGTGAGGAGACACTGGCGGATAGCAGCAGCCGTTCGCACATTCACTCGGTTATTTTGCAGCGACTACATATGGGTAGCCACAGGCGCCGATCCGTGGTTTCATGGAAAGCGACTGTCGATTTGATCACTACGCGACAATAGGTGGGTAAGTTGGTATTTTTCGTACGAGCCATGTCGCGAAGGAATTCTTCGTGTCAGCACAGCGTCAACAGCTTCCTGTGAGTCCTTCACACACCTTAAAGAAACATGCGCTTGGCCCCGAGCCTTCGAATGTGCCAGCTGCCCATGACGGGCTGAGCGGTGACGGGGCGCTGCCTGACAGCAGCTACACTTCCGAACACAGCGCACGCTCCCCGCCGTCGCGCGCCCCACCAGCGCTGGCCTCGGGCGGCGGACGTTGCGTTTTATACCCATCATGTATTTAGCTTATAACTACCTGTGCCCCTTTATTGAGATCGCACAAACATGCTGGTGTGGATGCAGTTCAGCTGGTCGGGAGGGTGCGGTGGCGGTGTGCCTCATTCGCAGCAGATGTGCCGGGCCGAGGCGGTGGGCGGCATCGCCTCTGCTCAAGGTCACGCGCCTCCGAGCGGCCGGCCGAGCGGTCGCCGCCGCGCCGCCCCGGCCCCTTCCCGTTCACAGTCAGGCGGCCGGCGCCCACGGCACGTGACGCGGGCTTGTCGCGGGCTGTACGTGCTGTAGAGCCGTGACCTTTCTTTCGAGCTGCTTTGCCGCGCGTCTGTCTGCAACGGACATCATTGCTGCAATATTTCGCCACGGTTGCGTGGGGAAAAACAGATACACTCCGGTAGCGGGTCTCGAACCCACAGCACATTGGTCTGGAGACAAGTGATGATATTTATATCGCATACAGGCGAGGTCCAGTCTTCTTCGAGCAAGAAGGTGCATGGCCCCAGGCGTTTTAGGTTGATACGAGCGCTGGGGCCAACGATCCATGTAAATGTGAAGACTTCGGGCTACGGAATCTGCTCCGGCACGCAGCGTGTTGCGCCTGAACGCTCGGCGCAAGCCAATGCGGGTAACGCATTCGAGCTTACATACTGGGACCACCTGGGACATTGCCACTGACATTGTGGAATTCGAGACAATTTGTGTCCTCCCTCATTTGATGCAGCCTGATCCGGTCCGACCTGGGCGTATCTGACCTGACCCGATCTGATCTGGCTCAGGGATGGTGACGTCCTTTATTGGATGACGTCTACTGTATGCCATAAATCCTAGGCGTCTGTCAGAAGCAGATGACATGGCCTGAATTTACATGTTCCGCCGCTTTTAAGGGACCCGAAACACGACTGGTCTGGAGTCCATTGACCTCGGGTTGCCACGCTACCGTTTAGGCCGTTCATTGCATAGCTTTCTCTCAGAGGGTTGGGTCGGTGGAGTCTACCATGCAACAGCTTCCCTGATGCAAGTTTTCATCGATGCGTTTAGACTAGTGGGCCGTATTACAGGGTTCCAGGCATTACTGTTCCTTCAGTGTCACCTCTCTACATGAGCCGTTTCAGGTACACTAAAACACTTGAGTGTGGTGTGAGCCTTCATAAAGCATTTTCTTATTTGTAGACGTAGGCATTTGTAGGTATTTGTGCAGGAATTTGTAGGCTATGTAGGGCATGCGGGAATTTGTAGGTCTGCTACGCTTGACGTGTAGTTTACATAAAATAGATCACATTTGGGACCAAGTGGAAATTACATGTCAAGACTTACTTCAGCGTTGCTCTGCTCGCCCAACGTGTCATGTTAGGGCTACGATTTCAAGCCTTCTCACGGGCGGTGAGACAAAGTGAAAGCTTCGTGCGAAATTGTTCGGAAAGTTTGGAAACCTGTGCCCCCGAATTGCAAGGTAATGTACCAGGCGTTGCCTTTTATGGGATGCGCATGCATGCACCGATGTAGACACCAGCGGAGTCCCGTAGTCTCGCAACGTTCATGGCACGGGATGTTGGCGAGATCCGGCGCTGATTAATAGCTACGCATCCAAAAAGCGTCCAGCCGGGACTATTTCCCGGCGCAAAGTAAATGTGGTGGACAGGTGCAGTGCGGTGAAGCGCTGTGGCCCTGCCGCGCCGAAACTCAGGCCGGACTGTTGTCACTCGTCTCGACGGCGAAGAACGGAGCGGCCCACTGTACGGCAGGCGGCAGCGGCGGCCTTTGTGCCGCGCTTGTTACCCGGACAATGCCAGCCACAAAGGCGAGCGGGGCCTGTGCTGCGAGCCTGCAGCCGGCAGCGCCGCCTGGCGCCGCTGCCGGCGGCGGGGCCCGACCGGACCGGGCTGGACGGCGCCGGCCGACGCGGCGGCTCCTGTTGACGGACGGCTCCGCCGCCACGGCTCGTTATGCCATGGCTGTGCCGGCGGCGATGACCTTGCTGCTCTCACCCGCTGCATCGCAGCATGCAGCGCCGAGCGCATTCGCTGTTGCCAAACGGGCGAGCTGATGAAGTGTCTGCTGTTCTCGCGCGGGGGTCGTTCGGGGGTGTTTCCTCAGTGTTCCGCGGCGGTGCACGCGGTCACGTGCATGGCTGTCTGACGGCAGTGAGCGTGGGCATCCACAGCGCCATACACAGCTCGCAGTTGCACAAGATCGGGGTTGACCGGTGGCCAGACACGCGGCCTTACGTCATGCGGTCTGTCCCGGCCCCATGTCCCGTGCTCTGAGAATCTAGATCGTTCTGTGCCTTTGTATTGCATTCTGCTGTTTGTTGCATGCCCAAACATTTTGAGCGCGTGCACACAACGTTTGTTCCTTGTTTCACAACCCTTTCGTGTCCGGGTCAAACACCATCTACTGAACTGAAGTGACCTGGACAGGGCCGAAAGCCTATTCGCCGCATCTAAGAAACTTACTGAGCCGCCGTGTTTGGAAGAGCTTGTCGCGCGACTTTCCTCTGCAGTGCGGAGCTACGTCATCTTTCAAGAACCCAAGTGCCAAATATTTCAGCACGCCACTCACCCACACCGCATGAGCTTAGTGCCGAAATGTTTTGAAGACCTGCCCGCCCACCGGGATTAGAGTGGCAATTTAAATGAGCTTGCCTTACGCGATGGGTTTCCCGTATTCGCTTATACCACTGGCTCAGAAAAACGGGTTCGGGTAGTCTTTTCGTGAAACCCTTCGTCTCAATGCACGATTGGAGCAAATGTCACGTGCCGCGAGATTAAAGGTTTCTTAGGGATCAGCTTGGCTGCACTCGACAGTTCTTGAGCATAACCGAAGGCAAATGATTCTTGCAGTTGACGCGATCTCAAAACCCCCCAAAACTAACTAACCGAAGGCACCAGAGGCATTACGTAGGCGCACCAAAGACAGTCTGCCTGGCAACCAGAGTGGTCAAAGACGTGCAAAGAAGTGGCCTCTTCGCTTGGTGCCGGTCTTCCGTGCTGTTCCGTGCTGCCTTGGTGCGTGAGAAAGACAACACAGCGAGGATGGAAAAGAAGCTGCCGTACTGGCGCGTTTACCCTCATCGGCTTCGGACTTAAGCGTGGGAACCGGCAAGACACCGAGCCAGCATACCTTTGCTTCCTGTCTGTGAACCTCAGGGTCTGAAGTCCCGTGTATTTTGTTGTGTGTGGGGGGGGGGGAGGGGGACTGTTGCCCGCCAGTCACTGGTCAACCTGTCGCCCCACCTGCTGTCCAAACAAAGCCCTGCTAGGTGCGGGCTCAAGCCGCCACGCCGGTCCGACGCAGGGAAAAAGCAATCCAGCGATCTGAGGATCACCGTCTCTAGATCAGAGCCATAGAGCGCACCCCCGGCTTAGCTGGTGAAGTCGCGCATCAATTGCCTGAAGCCGTTCTTGAGCGTAAGATGTTACAGCGCATGTGTGCTCAGATGCTTAACATTCCAACGCCACGACGAGCGATGCTTCATTCGCAGCCGGCCTGATGGCCTACACCGGTGCTCATGCCGCATGTGACTGGCCCTCGCTTGCTGGCAGGATGGGTTGCTGAGTGCCACTGCTGGCATTGCCAGCTGTCTGCTCCGGCGGGCCGGGCGCAGACCGTGCAGCAGCCTGCCCCGACACTGAGACCGCCGCCGCGCCGTCCCGGCCGCCGGTGCCGGGCTCAGCGGCCACCTGCGACCCCGGAGACCGGTCGGCCGGCGAGCACAGACTGCCGGGCCGGCCGTCCCGCCGCTGCCGGACCAGGAAGCTCGCCATGCCATGTGGCGCCGAGACGGCTGGGAAGTGACGCTGCCGTCGGCGCCGCCGACCGCCTCGTGCTTTCACGGACCCGTCCGCGCGCGTCGAAGCCGCGCCCTAGACTCCGGTATCCTGGCAGCTCTGCCCGCTCCGCGCGGTAGCCCACTGTCATGCCATGGTCAGCAGAGCGCCTGCCTGAAGACTGCTGTGTTACGTGCTGCCGTGGCCCGCGGCCACGGTCGATTGCGTGGCCAGATACTGCCGCCGGCTGGTGGCGTGATGTTTGGCTTCCTCACACTGGGGATGGACGCCTAACCGGGCAGCAGCTGTTGCCCATTAATCTAGCCTGCCGCGCTGTGCCGTGTGCGTAGGGTAGCACTGTTTACGTGTCACGTGAAATGGACGGTCGGTGAGCCAGGCTGTCTGCATGCAAGTGTCTTGCCCGTGATTGTTAATAACATTGATTAACGTCCGAATCAAACGTTTCCTGTGAAATACAGAATCGACTAACAGGAGCATCATTGCAGGAATGGTTTTCAATATGTATGCTCGTTGGCGAGTGCGGCACTCGGCACCCAAACAAACCAATCCAAAACATTGGGACCTACCAGTCATTAACCACTTCCAGCTCTCACTGTTGGCTGCCCGCTAATATTCAATTACGTCGTGAAGCTACACACGGGTGTCACCGAACGAGTCCATGACACCACTGGCCATACATTCATTCTCAACAGCATGACGACAATGTTGCCGTCACTCGATCGTTTTATGACGTTTTTGTGGTTGCTTTCAGCCTCGAGACGGGAGACTGCTGAGGGCCCATTGCAGACTCGATGAAACATCTGGCACCCGAATACAAATGTCACATTGCTGTTTTGGAATTTAAAAGATTCTAAAAGGGTTTTAAAACAAATAAATAAAAAGGGTTTTACAGGAAAAAAATCAGGTAGCGCAGCACCGTCCTAGTGTCTGGACATTGGAGGCCAGGAACGATGGACTCGTCCAACGACATAGCAGCCCCTCAGCAAATTTGGAAGCGCGAAGGCCGCCACTGCATGGTTCGGACAGCAAGGCCGCTATCGCCATACATATAACCACGCCTTTCAAGTTACCGGGGTTCGTTCGCGTTTTGTTAACATGCGGCATGGCTGAGAACACAAAAATAATCCAACTAGCCCAAAAGTTAGTGGACGTACGGACCTGCCGAATCCAGTGGTCGTTAGGTCCATCCACGCCTGCAGAGAGCGAAGCCCTGCCTCCGGTCCGCTGTCCACAGCGCGTCACGACGCTGTACGTGGGCGTTGAAACGCTAGAGAACCGTTCTTGCATCGGCCCGGCATACAAGAGGTGAATGCTCCGTTCAGACCTTGAGGGTTAAGCACATGTGGCGACCAGCAAATCCGGTTTCTGCCATGTGCTGGCCCCATCAGGCGAGGCATCATCAGAGGCGGCCGCGGGCGCGCGGCGGCCACGCCGGTCGGCAGCGGCCGGTCCGATGCCGTCGGGAAGGCACGTGTGGGCGTCCAGATCGCCGCTGCCGCCGGCGGCGGCCATATCGTAACATGGGCGGCCATATCACCGCTGGCAGTCGCACTGCTGCCGGCGCTCGCGGCCGCCGCCGCAACGCGGTCAAGTAGGCCGCCAGTGCATGCCAATGACGGAGACGACGCACGGCGGCGCTGCAGGTGCGGCTGCTGACGGTCGACCCGGACGGCCGGACGGCCACGTGACCAGGACGGTCACGTCGACAGACGACAGCGCTGAGACTTGGCAGCTGCGAGTTCGCTGCTTACACACAGCCGTCAGATTCCAGACAGCAGCAACGAGAAGCGGCAACTCAGCGCCGAACCGCAAAAACAGCTCCGGAAGCCGGGTTACTCCAGACGGCTCCAAACACCGCCGAAACGGCTGTCGGCAGCGGAAGAGCAGCGGCAGAACAGCCCCCGAGCGGCGGTGTTGGGGCAGCCGGTCTAGCGGACGGCTGTGGCCGCCGGGGCAGGCCCACGCCGTGTCGTCAGCAGGCCCAACAGCCGCGGCCCGGGCCCCCTCCCCGCGCCCGATCGGCTCGGGGCGCGTCCGCGGCACTGCCCGCCACCGCTGGCCGCCTACCGACCGTTGCCCACGCACGACCACGAAAGCGAGGCGTGCAAGCCATGGTGAGTGCAACACGCTAAATGCTCAAGTGTCGCCGCTTGAGCAACCCCAGAAATTCGACGTAAACGTGGGTGTCGTTCCTTGGTAATCGCCCACATACTCGGGGATCGGACGATGCCGATCTAAAAAAACGCGACAAATGCACCCGCCGCCGCAGCGATGCCACCCGGCTGGTACGGCGGCGGTGGCGGCGGCCGCCAGTGCTGCCGGCTGACCTGGTGGGCGTACCCGGCCCGGTGTCGGATGACACCGGCCCGTCAGAGGCCGGCCCCGCCACCACCCGCTGCCCGGCCGTCCCAGATGCCATGACGGACGATATGTCGGGACGCAGCCCGCCATGCAGCAGCAGCCGCCCAATAAGGCGGCCCGACCCGCAGCCATTTCCGGCTGTTGTGACGTCAGCCCACGTGGGCGGCTCGGTTCCACGGTGACGTCACTGGGAGGTCGCGTCTTGCGCCACAAGGCCGGTCGGCGCCTTTTTAGTACACGCATGCGGTTCGTCAACAACGCTTCAATGGGGACGTGTCAGGGCCGCCCGCCCCGTCTGGCCTAGGAGCATGTTGACAGTCTCGCGACAATCCATATGGATGTTTGGTGTTTGCGAAACAGACTTCCCGAATTGTGCATCTTTTACGTCAGTTCGGCAACATACGCTGAAAACGAAGTCGGCGCATATGCGATACGACGGAGTCGGAAATAAAATTGGATAGCAGAAAATATGCGTAAGCGAGGATGCACAAGACAGTGCAAATGTTGTACTGCCAAGAGAAACGAACTTGTCAGCGGGAGGGGCGATGTCATGTGTCAGTCTCGCCTTAGTAGATACAAAAGCATCGTTACGAGCAAACACATCCCATCGTTCCTTGTCTTATGGGTCTCGTGAGAGAAAAACAAATATACTTAGTGAGACCAACGTCTTCATGTGGAGCGCACACACTGCCTGCACGGGAGCCGTGCTTCTGAGAAGAAAAGCCACCTGATAAAATCAAAAACCAGGACAGAAGAAAAAGAGGGGAACGTCCTGGAGAAGAAATAAGCTCCTCTGGGGAAGAAATGCCCTTTCCTTGGAAAAAGTTCTCTTAGAGATAATTGTCTGCGGTGTGAGATTTTGCTACTTGGCCTACTAGAATGTTCATTTTACACTTCCAGTTTACTAATTTCTTGAGCGAGACAAAACTTGCCCCACGGAAACCCCTGCTTCAATAAAGAAAAAGAACGCGTCTCTGAGGAAAAACACGGAAAAATACGAGCCCCATTAAAACACAGTGTTCTTGTGAGAGAAAAACGTGTCCCAGATGAAGCCAAACCTTCCTATGCACAGGAATGCTTGTTTCCTCACGTGAAATGGGTGGGGACTGGCTATTCCTCTCACCTGATGGATGAAAACGTCCATCGAGGAAGATGAACATAAAAGGGAGCCTCATACAAACCATTGGAAAGGAAAGGGCGGACCCGATTCAACCCAGACCACAGAGGCTTTGGCGTTTTGAAGTGGTTTTGGGCAGCTTTAGGCGAGATTAATCCCTTAGAATTGGGGCAAGGACCGCCAAAAGCACACACGGCTCCGTTAGTAAAGACAAATCGCCCCTATGGGAAGCGCATGTCCCACCCATGAAAAACGACCGAGCCCGGGAAGGGCAACGTCCCTTAGGCATGCTCTCCGAACTTATGATGGGAAATCTTAACCCATTTATACCTTTCGTACGCAACATTTCAATATCCAGGTATCCTCGTTCAATAGGAAACACCTAGAGAATCCGGCTTGAGCGGTGGGGCATGCGCAGCCTGCGGGGCCGCCCACCTGGTGGCTACATTGTTCACGGTAGGTGGCGCCACCCGACAGGAGGTCGTGTAACGGTGCTTAACAACCAAACCAGGGGCGCAATCATAAGACTTGTCTGCTTCTGTGAAGCCACCAATAGGGAGCGCCGTGATCTCTCATCAAGAGATTCTACCGCATACCCGCCAGCTCTACCCGATCTCACAGTTCACCGATCCAGGTGCTCTTCACCTTCTTCGTAAGCAGTTATAATAATATATGGCATATAATCTGTAGATAAGGAGGGCTGACCACACATCGACCCCCGCAGCCATCAAACACCGAATCCTTCATTTCCGATAGGACCGTCACAAGGTCATCTTTCCGCGCCGCACATTTCAGCTCACCATCTGCCGACAACTGCTCTTCGCCGAGTTATTTTCCTCGCCTCTAATGCGCTTCGCTGCCGCTTCATCCCCACCGGAGTGAAGATTTCCCGCCGCCGCCGCCGCGTTCTCACCCCCACCGCGCTTCACTCCCTTCTCATCCCCACCCAAACTGGGCTGATCGGAAGCCTCAGTTACGCCTGAGGTCTCGTCCCCACTCGAGCAGCGTTTTGCCGCCGCCTCACTCTCACCCGAGTCCCCCTCAGATAACGTCTCGTCCTCGCCCGATGCCCCGTCCCCACCCGAGCCGCGCTCCGCCGCTGCGGCGCCGTGCTGCGGGGCCTCGCGGCGCTGCTTCCTCCGGCGCCCCTGCAGGGCGCGGCTGTGACGGCGTGAGCTGAGGTGCTCGTCGCGCTGCTTCTCGCCGGACGTGTACACGTCGCAGACGGCGCAGTAGTGCGTGGTGTGCCGGTCACCGTCGGCCGCCGGCAGCGGCGGCTCCGGCCGCTGCTCGGGCTCGCGGCCCTCCAGCCAGGCGCGCACGACGGCGCGCGCAGGCGCGGCCACGCGCTCGGCCCACTCGGCCGGCTCGGTGGCGTCCAGCCGGTACAGTGGCGGCACCTGGCGGCCGGCCGCGCTCAGGAAGCGCCGGCGCACCCAGCGCGTCTGCTTGCGCGCGTAGCGACGCGTGACCGTCTTGAGCCGCTCCACGCCTTCGGCCAGGAGCCGGCGCCCCTCGGCGCTGTCCGCCTCGGCTTCCGGCAGCGTCAGGAACGCGTGGAACTCTTTGAAACCGATGGTCTGGAAGACGCCGTGCGTGTAGTCGGCGGCCCGGCCAGCCGGCAGCCGCGGTGCGTTGTGGCGCCGATGAAAGTCGGCCAGCTCGGCGAGCAGGCCACGCGCCAGCATGGTGTCGACGCGCGCGTCCAGACGCGCGTCCAGCGTCGCCTGCTCGGCGGTGACCCAGAGCAGGCAGGCGCGACCGAAGCGCAGCGGGCCGCCGAGCGCGCCGCCGCCCGCCTCCGCCCGCTGGCGGCGCAGGTGCTCGCTCATCGGCAGCCCCGAGCGCAGCACCACCTCCAGCGACCTGCCGACCGAGACGCCGCGCCGTCAGCGTCGGCCGGGGCAGGCGGCTTCCGGGTACGGTACACACGTGATGACGACGCAGGGGTCAGGTTTGTGCCACCGCGCCTGACAACGCCCAGACGGAAACAGACCTGAGACGCCCTCAGAGCTGCAGGGAGCCGGCCGCAAAATGCGACTGCCGTTACGCTGAGATCCCGGAAACGGATCTCGTAGTCTCCTTATGTTTGGGAGCACACGTTAATGGTGGCCACCGCCTTCCCGGCCCGGGCCGCCTGCAGGCACTGCCCACAAGCGCGGCCGACTCACCTCAGTATCTTGCGACGCTCGTTGGGGTGGAGGACGCCAGCCTGCACCGGGTCACACTGCTCGAGCTTCCGGTACAGCTCGGCCGTGGTGAGGCTCTCCAGGTGCCCCCTGCCGCTCGACTCGCCGGCAGCGGCGGCGGCTGCGGCGGACTTGGCGGAGATGAGATCGTCCTTTGACTCCTCGCCGTCAGCAATGAGCACCTTCCACAGCACGGACTCAATGTAGTAATTTGTTCCGCCAACTATCACAGGAAGCTTCCGTCGACTGCGCAGGTCCTCGATCTGACGCGTCGCTAAGGAGATGAGTATCCTCACAGCACAGCCATCACCGGACACACAGAGCAGGCATATATGTTACATCTCGACTGAATACGAACATCGCTCTCAGCCAATGTAGTACAAGTCAAAGCCAAACATTCTGTGCAGGAGATTCATGGACGGGACTGAGACACGTAAGGGTCCTGCCTCGCCAAACGGACAGGACAGGGCCGGGGGGGGGGGGGGCATGAGCATTGCCGCCGTACGATCGGGCCCGATCGCTTTCTAGATGGGTTATAGGAATCCCGGTGTGTCTACTGGTCAGTGGTCGACGGTGTCCCATTACCGGTTCTTGGGTATCCACGTTGTTAAAGGACCAATAAGAAAAAAAGCCAGATCGAGATTTAGCCCGATCCAGATTCAGATTTAACCTGTCAACTACACATGTCTTTGAAATCAGTTTTGACAAACACAAGCAAGACGATTTTACTATAGTGTGACCAGTCCATATGTACTGAGGATTGGCATCAAATATGCAAAACCAAATGTAAACAACCTGTTACCCCCCCCCCTCCCCCCTGGTAAGTTCATGTCTAAACGGACGTCTGGTGTTACCAATGATCCAGCCGCTCGTTTGACAAGGATACAGCCGACAAGCAGGCGTCTCTGAACTTGACGACAGAGTAGTTGGTTGTTGGTTCGACGATATCAATCATGTGGTGAGGAACCAGCTGCTGCTCTTCAGGTGTTACCTTGTTCGAAATTATGTCTAGACCCTTGTACACCTGAGGAAAGGTCATAATGTAGTTTGACTAATACAATGTTACTTAATCAGCGTCACCAACGTGAAAAACAGTAAGAGCAGGATGAACAGAAGAGCAACCAATGAATGGCAAGAGAAAAAAAAACTGCTGACCTGTCAGGCTTTTGTGCTTGCCATCGAGTAAAAAGTTCTACCAAGCATCGACGAGCAGCCCTGCCAATAAGCTTCAACAGTTCTGAAACTACGGCGAAACGCCCACTAGCAATGTCCCATCCCCATCCGCATTGCCAGGTCTGCTGCCCAGTAAGCAATCCACATCGACACCAGCTCACTTCTCTGATCAATTAATGGACCCATCTTACCTGCATCGAGTCAGGCACTTATTATCTCTCCATCAAATTCTTGTGCGATTTCCAAGGCCAGCTTTGACTTGCCAGCTCCAGTAGCTCCGAGAACAACAACAATGGGAGTCTCGGTAAAAGCCATCTTCACCGGCTTCTGTAACCAATGCAAAATGCTTCTGATGAAAGGTAGGTGCATAAGTCAGTAATTATCCTGAAACAACGAAACAGGTAAGGAGTTTGCTTAACATGTACATCCCACAGGACAACGATTTTACAAGCATAAATTAATCAAAAAATTCAAGTGAATGTTTCAAATTTGACGATATTGAAGAAAGCACCAGATATGATGAAATAAGCTCACTTATGACTATTGGCACACTTTTAAGTGGAAACAACTGCCCTAGAGAATATATGTTCCCTGTTAAGCTAAAATGGTTCCCACAATGTCACTGTTTGATTACATCATCGCACCTTACACAGCACCGATTGAGAGCCAATTGACAGCCGTAATGTCTGGAAATCGTGCTCATGAACACCATATATGAGTGACTCAACATTTATATTTTTGGCCTTAATCACCATAGGCCAATGCAGTGGCAGGATTTGAATGACATTATCATGACATCAAGAATGCCTGGGTGTGATTGAAATAGCCTGCGTGAAAAGTCTGTATATCTTCGCGGGCGTGTAGCTCAGAACCTGGATGAACTTAGATTTTAAGCGGGACAGGGCCGTGATCTTGCATCAAATGATCTCTATTCAATGGATGGATTTCAGGGACCAGAGCACATGGTGAACAGTGTTTGTGTGAGCCCAGACCCCTACCGTCCGATCGTGCTGTTGCGGGTCAACGACATAGCTTGGCGACGATTAAATGCCGCAATGCCAACAGGGTCCGTCCTGTCCCCGACTTTTAGTGGGACCGCTGCCACTGGCCATGCTTGTCAAGGCCAAAAGGTGAACGCCTAAAGCGATTTGAATCCACCCCAACTGGGGTGGGTGAATCCCAAGGCATGTGCGATAATCATTTGAGCGATGGGGACACTCTTTATTCTCACCCTGCCCCACCTATAGTTGTAGGGAATTTTAAAAGACATCCTGACTTAACATCCTGGTCATGTTTACATCAAACTGGTTACATGTTATCAGTATCTCTATTGGTGTGTGTTGCACATGTATAGCTCCCAGTGACTGTCGAGTCTGGATTCAAAAGGTGATCATACCAGCGACTGGCTGATGTGGGATGCCAGTTACTGAGGACTCTCAGGCTGAGTACCGCCCAGCGACAGATAGTTTGCACACATGGTTTGCAAAACTTCACTGGTGGCCTCTGTTGATGAGACAACAGGAGAGACCAAGTTCATGGCATTAGGAGCTATATGAGCATGGATGACATGTAGGAGAACCTTCATGTCACCTCTGTGATGTCACCTCTTCAACAGACTGCGGGGAGACCTCAAAATCTTTCTGGGAGGTCCAGCATAAGTCACCGCAAATATTTGTCCCAATAACCCCTCTGGAACAAACACCAACAACAGTAATATACCAAAGTGCCTGCCTTCTCCTGAAAATTTGTCACCAGAGCTCCCTTTTCATTATGAACATCTTCAACTTTGCACATAGTCACTATTCTAGAACTGGTGGCTTCCAGAACAGCTCTGGATTGCATCTCAATTCTGACGCCAACCATTGTTGGCGTCAGCAGTTGTGGGAATGATTAGGGGACCAAGCCAACAGTCTACCAACTTAACATCCCCAGATGTGGTTCTTTACAAATTTAGACCAGTGCAGTTTCATGAATGACAATTTTTGAACTTGTGCATGATTTGTCAAAGAATACTTGGGCTAGATTTAAGTCACTCATGACCACCAATTAATGGTCAGATAGGTTAGCTTAATGTGTTCCTGCCCATATGCTACATCCACTTGTTGCATCACATATGGAGGGCAAGGGTTCTACATATGCAACAGGTCTCAAAAATGTGTAAAACTGTAAAATATGCTTTATGGGCAGCCTCCATAACATACGTTATACTCAATTTCCAAAACTGAAGGAAAAATATTGGTTTCAAATCGACGCCACGGAGAGGACCCTCAAATAGCACAGCCAAATGAATCAAACCCAAATCAGCGACCCCGCTAACTATTGTCTATGACACGACCACACATGCACTCCCTTCTTACAATACCAACGGACCGCAGCCGCCAACAGCGACCGGAATTATCGCATCCAGACTACAACGTGGTTCACCACAAACATTTTTTTGCATCATCCACGATTGAAACATAGGCGTCACTTTGACCCTAAGTGTGGGTAACCAAATTGGATCTCAGCAGAGCTTGGTTTGGAGATTTATTTCGGTAAGAAAATCCCACTCCTAACAGGAATGCGTTGTAAAGCTGTAACTCCCGCTGTTCCGGTATCTCGTCTTCGGCTCACTGGTAAACACACTACGTTCTAAATCGCTTTTGTATTTGACACTCGTCACATGCGCAAAAAAGGTCTCAGTGCAACAATGTCGCGAAATGACGCCGATCGAAATCTCAGCGGAGTTGACGGAGTCGGGAAGGACGCAGGTAGCAAAATTGCTGAAAAGCTATCTCTATCTGTTTGACAGACGAGTGGGAATCACTACGCTGGTGCAGCACACCATTCCAGCAGGCAACCATCCGCTTGTCAGGCACGCGCTGAGGACGCATCCCGCCCCACCTAAGAGACGAGGTTTATAGGCGTAGGAACTCGCCCCCCACCACAAAACTGGGTGGTGGGGGGCGAGGGCGTACTTCAGGAACCTTTTGAACGGGGGGGAGGGGTTAGAGACGGAGGTTGCTATCGCTTTTTATTTAAATGTCATGGCTGTTACGCTAGATATGCATTTATACCTGTTTTCACTGATGTGCAATCTTACGTATTCGACTCATCTATGTCATTCAGCAAATAAAAAATCAAGCCCATCTGTGCTATTCAGCTTCCCAAGATTATTCGTCCATTTTAATATTGTCCTTTCCTAGGGACAGTGAAATTCCGTAAGCGGGTAGGTATTTTGGGTCATTGAGGAGGCATCTGCCTTCACAGTGTAGGTGCCAAAATGCGGCCTGGACATAGGCTGGTGAGAATTTTGAATGCGAATGGATGGCTCATAGTATGACAGATTTTTTATGCGCCTTCATTTCGATGACTACTTTTCAAGAGATGAGGCTTCTCACAGCATTTTAGGCGGAAACAAATTCGGAAGCATTTTAAAATTAATTTCGACCCACTCTTTTCAACAACAATAGAACCTTACTCCACTCAACCATAATGAGAACCTTACTCTACTCAACAATAATAAGACCCTTTATCTCCTTCCGGGCAAAGAGTCCCTTGAGTAGAACACCAGGGGTACATTACCGGTTCCGGTCAAGAGACGAAGAGCCACTCCGTTTCCATCGCGAAGTGTCTTCTGGCTGCCATTCTGGCGACACGGGGCAGGGTCTCCTGGTGGATTCGGAGGCCATTATAAGGATATATCATATGACATCGCTCCCTTCCCTGACACGGAAAGCCTTCTGACCCGCGCAGTTGGCCCCGGATCAGCATAGGAACCCTCATTGACGCAACAACATGCCTGATCGTCGCATGTGGTCCAATAATTGTCACAAAGACTACGGTTCCATGTTTTTTAAATGTTCTTCAGAGATATTGAGGACTCCGTGAACGTAGGTTGTAGGTGACATGGGGTCCCAAATTTGTATTGACATGGCTAATCCAGGCTCATTTTAAAATGTTCAAGATTCAGTCAGAATTGATTACTGATACAAAACAAAACTATGCGATATGGTTTTGAACGTGCGCGCTCGCAAGTCATGGCAACAGCCTGGACGCCCGGCGTTGCAGTCTCCATAAGCCGCGCGGCGTCGGCCCGCGGCTGTGACACTATTAAGCGAATGCCTAAGCAAGTGAAAAAGATGATGCATCTTGAGGAAGATGGTTGGTGAACTAGACAAATCGGCATGTACATTTAGTCTGGTGCAAAAGAAGACTAAACGCAAAATTAATCTGAAAAGTGGGGAGCCAGTTAACACTGCTGGCCCCCCACCATGCAAAGTGGGTGGAGGGGGGCATGCCCCTTGCCCCCCCCCCCCCCGTTGCTACACTCATGACGAGGCTTAATAGCTGACCTGGTGGAAAAGGTATCCTGGAGGAGAGTAAATAGCGCCTGGGCCGGTCCAGTGGTGTCCGCAAACGTGGTGAGACTGGACTGCGTATCGGTGCTGACATGTGCAGGGTGAACAGTATCACCTAGGTTCCGGCCTACCCGGTCGCCAGAGTTGATGGCGTCCTCGAGTCTCTGGCTGGCTCCTCCCTGTTCTGCAACCTAGATCTGAAGTGTGGGCATAATCAGATGGAGGTCGTGCCGGAGGACAGGGACAAGACGGCCTTCTCCTACCTGGGTCACCGAGTCTCAAAAGACGGAATCGGTCCCGATCCAGAAAAGGTAGAAAGTGGTGGATCGGTCAGTGCCCAGATCCAAAAAGGAGCTGCTCAGCTCCCTGGGATTGGCTGGTTACTTACGTCCGCTACACGGCCAACTCCGCCAAGGTTGATGCACCGCTGACACAACTGGCACAAAGGACATGTGCTATTTCACTGGTCACCTGAAGCTGAAGCAGAAGTCATCAAGCTGAAGGACCTGCTGACCTCGGCACCAGCGGTGGCTTTGCCTCGATTTGAAGGCGACGCAGCGCCCTCCATCCTGGACACGGACACATCCGACCGTGGGATAGGGGCTGACCTTCTGCAGGTACAACACGGACGAGAGAGGGTGATAGCCTACTCAAGCGCTAACCTCACAAAAGGCCAGAAAAAACCGTTTGGTAACAAAACGAGAGTTTCTCGCGATGGTCAAGATAGTGACGCATTTTCGTCACTTCCTGTTGGGATGGAAGTTTGTGTTACGAGCCGTCCCCAGCAGCCTTCGATAGGTTCTCAACTTCAGGTATTCTCAGGAGATGCTCGCCCAGGTGGCTGGAAACACTGAGCCACCTCCAGTTTACTGTGGCCGACCGCCCCGGTCTGGCCCGTGGCGATGCCGACGACATGTTCGGTATGCCACCGCCGATCCGAAAGGTCGCCTGCCAGACGGCCTCCGACGTCACCGGCCTGGTCAGCTGGAAGCGGGATGTGCGAGAGATTTAATTGGGTCATATTCGAGATGCTCTCTCGGTGCCTCGATGACACCATCGCGTATGGAAATAACATTTGTATTGTTCCTCCTAAGCTATCGGAGTGCAGTGCATGGCAGCACAGGCTTCAGTCCGTACCTCCTAATGATGGGAAGAGAGCCGCGACTGCCGGCCGAGGCTAACATAGGGTCCCCAGCGACCGCTGAAACAGGACATGAGACGCTCTCGGCCTACGTGGGTCACCTCCGCCTGGGACTGCAGAAGGCGCATAACTTCGCGCGACAACGCACAGAGGCGACCATCGCCGCCAACCGAGGTCTGTACGGCCCCAAGTTAAACGCGTTCCACCATCAGGCGGGTGATGCGGTGTACCTGCTCCGGAAGGTGCCCGCCTGAGGCGAGTATCACAAGGCCGCCCGGCCCTGGAAACCGGCGGTGGTGCCTACCTAGGCAGGTGAGCTAAACTGCCGCAGTCAGCTGTGCGGCAGCAGGCGCAGGAAACTGGCGGTATTGAAGCCGCGTGACTTGTTCAGTGCATTGGCGAGGAACATCATTCACATAGATAAGACAGTAGTAATAACGTTATTCTTCGGATAAAAACCAGGAGAATGGAAATACAGATGGGTTGATATTGGGCAACATGCCTTTATCGAAACAATAGCAGAAGTGAGTTCAACATTGCCTGCCGACGATCCTACTCGATTTTTTAAGCAACAAGGCGCAGTTTTTACAGGACACCAAAACTCAGGGCATTAAATAAAGATAAGGTTATTACCACTGCCTTATCTATGGAAACCGCGTAATGGTGACACCGCGGAGCAACAGTCACGGCCGGCAAGACCAACGCACTTCCGTCACTTCCGGTTGGGACGGGGGTGCTGTTACGGTGTCTCGCCTCCGGCTCACTGGTATACACGGTACAACCAACGTCACTTCCGTATTTGGCACTCGTCACAGTCACTCGTCACAATCCGTCCCGCTGGCACATCCGTCCCCGCGCCGGCGGCTCTCAGAGTCTTTTTGTCATCGCCTCCTCCCCGGACCCCCGCGGCTGCGTCTCTCGCACGGGGCAGAAGGGGAACGCGAGCGTCTCTAAGCGGCGCTCGCCAAACTACGTAAACATTCACTGGCCAGCGCATAGGCGTTCTCTGACACCTTTCATCTCTCCCGGTGGCTGGAAACATGGGGCAATTTTCAAAATACTGTGGTCGACCGTCCCGGTCTGACCCGTGGCAACATTGACAAGTCCCGTATGCCACCGCCGACCCGAGAGGTCGCCTGCCAGACGGCCCAGTACCTCCAAGAAATGTAGTTTTTCGTGACGGCGAAGCTGCCGTGAATGCGATTGGAAATAAAAGTGTGTTCTTGCCTGCGCGTGAGGAAGTTTGTTTTCGAACACTTGAGGCGAAATATGTTGTGTTACGAAAAATCAGGACACCATTTTATATTTTGCTCACAAGCCAGCGTTGGTCCCCTAAGATGGTGTCTTGCATTTACGCTCGGGTGGAATACACCAGCCCTTACATCTGCGTAATCATATACGGTCGCAAATACTGCTTAACCCAGAGATGCAGTTTCCTATTCAGTAGGTGAAAGCGCTCCAGCTCCCCGACTTTGGGCAGGAAGCAAGGCGTGCATGTAGAAAAATCCCTGAGGGCACGTTCCCCTCCCCCCCCGTACCAAATTCACGGCATACACTAATATGCTCGTGACTTAATGTTGACAGCTACAAATTCCAGGAGAAAATGTGAAGGTTAACTGGAAACATATCACTAAAAATTCATTATATCCATATCAAACCAACTCGGCGTTATGTAATCGCATGAGCAGCATCATTTCGCTTACTAAGAACCCTCCATTATTCGTCATGGCAACCATCTGACCCCTCCTTCAGCCGGCTGTGTGATGCTCTGGACGCTGCAATGACAGTGGCATATGCCCATATCGCCTCTGAAGTCCGTGGCAATCCAGGTGTCATCGAAAAGGGTGCAGATCGCCGAGGACGCAAAGCACATGTGTTCAAAGGCATAACATAGGCATAGGCATAGGCATAGGCATAGACATAG